AATTGAATTCAATTGAATTAATTGAAGCAGGTAGGGCATTTGCCTTGCATGTGGCCGACCTGGCCAACACAGGTTCGATTCCTCCGCCCCTCTGGGAGAGCCCGGCAAGCTACTGAGAGTATTTCACCCGCAAGGCAAGGTCTGGCAAGCTACCCGTGAGATATTCAATATGCCAAACACAGTAACAAGTGTCACAATGGAGATGTTACTGGGCCCGCTTGAGCAAATAGATGAACAATGGGAGGAGAGTGACAGACAGTGACAATTGAATCAGAGGGAGGACAGACAGAATGATCACACTTATTTGCGGAATATAGAGAAATGTAGGAGGAGAATAATACTCGGAGGCAATAGAAACAAAGGCCAGGAGGACTGGTCCACTGTAGAAAGGAGTGGGTCATTAGGTCAGAGGAAGGACCACTATGAGAATAATAGTGGTAAGTGATCACTCTGGAACAGATCTGGGATGCAGAAGGGAGGCAAAGCGATCTTCACAAAACCCTTTTGGTAACAGTATTGCAAACCACAGTTCCCAAAAGAAAAAAGAAAAGTGTCTTCTGGAAAGGCAGGCCGAGAAGCAAGAGGAAAATGGGGTTGGGTGACGTTGGTAAAAGGAATTGGGCACTGGTGAAGGGATTGGTGCTCAAACATTGTAGGACTGAAATTTAAGTCACGAGCAACTATGTGACCTGGTATCTCATGGTGATTTGATAATTTTTTTTCTTTTACAAAAGATTCCCTCTGTTTTATCTGATGGCCTTTTTGATAGGCTCTCAGACAATATATGACAGCTCTTTCTTTTTTAAATTTTTTATTTTTATAAAGTAGCTCACAGTATTTGTTTACATTTAATATTCGAACACCAATCCCACCACTATTACACCTTCCCACTACCATATTTTGGATGTTTCCAGCTTGAACCCCAACTTCTTCCCCAAAGCAGAACTGAAATAATTTATTTTGCATTCTTTGTTATGAATAATCCGCTGAAAATGCTCCCAAAAAGTTTCCTTAGAGGAAAGTATGTGAAGGTTGTTGTATTTAACCCAGGATCCTTTAAACCCTTCCATAAGTGATTACTAACATCTTGTTAAAGGTTGAGCCTTGTGTAAAAGGTTGAGCCTTATAGCCTTGTACATACATATATATATGTGTATACACACATATGTACACACATACACACACACACGACAGCTCTCTCACATGGAAACAACCTAGGGTTCTTCAGATGAATTAAGCTTTTATGGTCTGAGACTCAGCACAGGGACATGGCCAGTGCATCTGACCCTAATGAAGTCTTTCTGTCCCTTCCATGTGAGGTATACAGTAGCCCCTCCCTGTCATACAGGACAAATCTCCTAGCCCACTGTGTCCCTTACACCTCAAGAATCAGCATTGGGCTACCCATCCAACTAAGAGAGTCCTTGCTGTCTTGATTACTGAAGAAAGAGAGTCCCATCAGGAGGAGGAGGAGGAGCAGGAGGAAGAGGTGGGGAGGGGGGACTGATAGGCAGTAAACCTACAGCTCCCTCCTGAAATTCCATCTCTTTCTCTGACCTTCCATGTGGATGAAATGTTTTAGAGTTGATTAATGAGTCCTCCACCACCCTTCTCCCAGATTCATCAGGGTGGTCTCTTTTCAGCTCACTTTGGTATCTTACGTCTGTCATCTTTATAGCCCAGCCAAAACTTTATAGCCCAGCCAAAAATTTTAACATTCTGTCACGTGCATGGTTCTTAAGTTCATTCATCCCCCTAGACATTCCCTGAACGCATACAGTATGCCAGATGCTGGGCTTGGCAGTGGAAATAATTATCACAGTTCCTGCCTGAAGGACCTCACCATCTAGTAGGAAAGGCTAGTGTGTTCATGAAAAGAAAGTGGGATGCTCAGTTGGAAAGACAGTGAGAGATACAAACATACGTTGCTGCCAGAGCAAAGGGCTCTACAGCATTGGGAGACAGACTGCAAAGGGAAAGTGAGTGGAGTTGCTACCTGGGTAAAGTTTAAACCACACTATTTTTATTTTAATTTGTTTCAGTTTTGGGTTACTTCTAGCAATGCTCGGGGGTTACTCCTGACTCTGTACTCAGGAATTACTCCTAGCAGTGCTCAGGGAATCATATGGGATGCCAGGTATAGAACCAGGTTGGGTGTATTCCAAGCACGTGCCTTACCTGTTCTACTATCTCTCCAGTCCCATACATTACTTTTTTGAGAAACAAGGTCTATTTGGGGGAGTGGGGAAGAGGGGGGTTGGCAGGGACTTGGGTATCTTTGTTGCTGGTATTTGATTCTCCATGATTTATTATAAAAAGCAAATATAACATGAAGAATTCTCTGTTTCCTGTTGTTACCTGGCCTCACATCTGTTTCCGATGGTAGAGGAAGGTGCATTTATGGATACCTCATATCATTCAAGTGTCCTTCCACCCATGAAGGCAGCTATAGGAGGTTACCTCACATTTGAGGTCCAAGCTCCACCAATTTGAATCTTACTCCAAGGGGGAGGAATGAGGTGAAGAAGTCATACTAAACATGCACAACCCAACTCTGGTGGAAAAAGCAAGAGCAGAATAAGCAAGTGTGTGGTGGAGAGGGATGAAGAGATAATCGAGTAGGTAAGGTGCTTGCCTTGCACTTTACCAACCCAAGTTCAATCCTTGGCATCCCATATGGTTTCCCCGAGCACTATCAGGAGTGATTCCTAAGTAGAGAGCCAGGAATATCTCCTGAGCATCAATGGGTATGCCTCTCACACACACTCCAAAAAACAAGTGACTGAGTTGGCTATAGGATCTGAAGAGGCCATCTCTCAGAAAGACACAGACATTCCTCTTAGGAACTCAGAATTTAGCCTAACAAAAAGAGTTTTCTGAAATGTGTCCTCTGAACAGAGCTTGTAAAACAGCCCCAGTGAGTGGAACAGCAGCCCTCAGCCTGAGGACTTTCTTTGTCCTTTCCCAAAAAGCTCACACCATTCCATTTGGGCTCTTGACTTTTCATCCAGGTTTCCTGTTCAATTATTTTTCATGATTGCACCAGTATCCTCCCACTGAAGACTGCCATTTTGTTCTCTCTCTGCGCTTGCTACTCTCAGCATCTCTAATCTCTCAGTCAGCACTTTTAAAGCCCTTGATTGCTAGGAAACCAGATAACTAGTTCAGAATGTTCGTGCCACAAGAGTTGGTAGAGCATCTGAGCAGGAATGGAAATATGTGTGAGTGATTTGCAGATGAAAAAACGATCAGGTCTCCAAATCCTTGGATAACTATTGAGAAGAAGTGTATGAACTCCAACATATTATTAATCACACTCTCTGTCGATCATTGTTAATACCTTTTTCATTCTCTGGTGAGCTCCTTTAAGAAAGGATCCATGCATTCTTCTCCTCTGCATTCAATAATTATCGAATGCTATGCTTGGCACATAGAAGAGGCTTCCTATGTTTTTAGGAACATTTTAAGTACTGAGACTAAGCTGATAATAGACAAAGCTCCTGTCTTCATGTAGACTGTATCCTGGTTAGGGTAAAGTATGGAGAGTGCAGATAATGAATATATAAGCCAGTCGTTAGGATGATATATCAGAGAGAATTGGTGAATTATGCATATAAATTATATGTATAATTGCATATTATATGGTATACATATAATCATGTATATGAATGCATATATGATATATATGATACAAAGGATATATATATACATATATATGGTTGTATATATATGATAGCAAAGACTATTCTTTTCCAGTAGTAGGGGAATTTGGTTTATGAGCTATATCTGGTGGTTCTCATGGACATATTCAAGAGACCGGGGATTGACCCCAGGTCAGCCACATGCAAAGCAAACAACCTACCCACTGTACTATCCCTCTAGCCCCAATATTGACAGGGGGACCCTTGAAAATGTTTTAAAGATACCTAGGAATTCTTACATTCTTTATGTAGTCAGCTTTTTGACATTTTTTCACAGTTGCAGGCATATGAGTTTATCCAGGACAAAGAGTATGTCTTATGAAAATATTTATCCCTAGCACAGTAATGTGGCACCAACTGAGTAATTAATAAATATGTGAAGTAAGAAATTGTACATATATTGCTCTAGAATTCCTCCATCCTTAAGAGCAAGAGTACAATAGCCATTTCTAAGACAGGGTCTGTTCAGAGGATCTTTTTCAAGTGTTTGCTTCCAGCACTCCTGTCAAATCTGTTGAACTCTTAAGATTGAGTTCATTCCATTCCCTGAGTTTTTCATTGCCTTAACTGCATTGGGAGACAGTCCAAGGACACCAAACCATTTTTCTCATATTATGGAACCAACACATTTGATGGTTGGTCTTGATTTATACACATCAGACCACATTCTCCCAGACACTGCAGCTTGAGATCCAGTTTCCTCATTGTGAAGATTAGAATACCCGGAAGTCGCATTCCAGTACTCAGGTCAATTATACCCAGCCCTGGACCTCACACTTATGCTCAGAATGTCAGAGACTGTGGGGAAAAAGTTGAAGGTGAAAAAGGGATGTTATATTTTAAAAGAGTAGGAAGTCCCAGTGCAGAATAAGGCCTGACATTATTGTTTTCTTGAATTAAGTAAACAGTATTCTCATTGGCTGAGTTTTTCATTGCCTTAACTGCATTGGGAGACAGATAAGACTTTATCTCCCAGCAGTGATGAGGGGAGTAAGCCCCTTCTGCTGCTTCCTGTCACCATAAAAATGTCCTATTTTTTTAGTTATTTACTCCTTGGAGTGCTGTATATGCAATCAGTTATTAAGCATGGGCCATGTAGTCATAGATGTGGCTTTTTATATGGACTGAATTTTAGTCTTGAGAAAACTAAACCGGAGAAAACTAACTGAGAAAAAAAGAAGCAACTGGATATCTGAAGGGGAAGTCAACTCTGATTAGAATGTTCTTGCCCGTGACAAGTCTCACACTGGTTGTAGTAGTTTTCCAACTGAGCTTCATGTTCTGTTTTCTATTTGGCAGGAGGCAATGGCAAGTATGAGCAAAGTTGGAAAAATTGTGTTCCCCAGACTTGAGGACAAAAGGTAAGTTTATGTTTTTTATTTGCACAGTGTAAATAAGGGCATACTAATCTATACAAGTCTATGGTTGGAATCATCCTTGGAAATGAGAAAATTCAGTTCTTATGATCATAAATTAAATAATACATTGACTTTATTTAATAATAAACCTAAATCCCAGAGAAGTAACCTTACCTCAATAATCTAAAATCAGATGTCACTCTAGAACCTGACTAGGTGATCAAATCCAAACTTCTGAACTCTCAGATCTTTTCTCTAGGTCATCAGCAGCAAATCTGATCTCCTCTGATCCAGATGGAGATCTGGTATCTCCTTTCTCAAAGAACACAATAGCATCTGTCCATTCTTCCTCCCTTTGAATCCCTTGGCATGAAAGGCTACTACTTTGATCCTTGTGTTAATCTCAGTTTGCAAAACACTAATTTATTGAGCTCATTAAGGAACACATTAAGCCCATTAATCTCTAGGTAACATTTAGACAGGAGAAATATACAACTTTATTTATAGGCACAGGATATTTCAGGAGGAAGAGATACATTCTATGATAGAAGTGTTTCCAGGTAACAATGCACCAAACAAGAAAGGGGTGTGATATTGGAGGGGCAAGGGAAATATTTCTAAGAGGTTAAGTCTAGCTGACTTTAAATGCTTACACTGAAGGTGAAACAGGAACCAGAGAAACAGGTAGTGCAGGAGTTAAAACACTTGCCTTGAATACTATGATCCATGGTTCTATCCCCAGTCTCACACTTCCCTGAGATTCTCCAGGAGTACCCCGCAAAGACTGCTGGGGATGGCCCCAAATCACCCCAAATTTAAAAAATAAGAATTGAAAAATAACCTCAGACAGGTCAAGTCAGAGAAAGAGATTCCTAGAAGAGGGAATAACGTGTGCTAAATTATAAAGTAGGTGAGAGCCCAGTGTGTTCAGGCATACAGCACGTAATTGTGGAAAACCACGATGCCACAGGAAATAAACCTGGGTGCTGGGGAGGGTTCAGCTCATACAGTGCTTCAAGGCCATGCTCAACACCTCAGATTTCCTGGTGATTTAGAAGCTTAGCGAGTTGTGAATCTTGATCTGATGAAGATTTTAGAAAAACCTAAATCCTACCTAGAACATGAATGAGAAGACCAAAGGACAGCGATCAGACGGAAGGCTTTTTAAATAATCCAGGCTAGAGCTGTAAAAACCCATATTCAGTCAGTGGGGTGGCATGTAAAGATGAGGGACAATTGTGCCAAGCACCATTTATAAATTTTGGAGACTCTCAAAGATTTACATAAAAGAAAATTCCACATCACAGAATGAACCTTCAAAGGTACTAAACTCACCCAAGCCTAGTTAGTATTTGACAGAGCTGGAAATGTCGATGGAAAAAAGAGTAATACAGTTTCTTTTCATTTGTGGCATGGGGGTTGAGAGGCACACCTGGCAGTTCTTGGGACTTTCTCCTGGTTCAGTGCTCAGGGATCACTGTTAGTTATGCTCAGGGGACCAGATGGTGTGCAGGGAAAGGAATCTGGGTCAGCTGAGTGACAGGCAAGTGCCCTGCCTGCTGTACAATCCCTCCAGCCCTTTCTTTTCATGTTTAAGGCCTCCGGAGCCGGCGTGTTACCCCTCTGAATGGAAAGCCCTCGCTAAATTTCAGAGATGGAAGGTCAGGGGGGCCCTCTCACTGCTCTATCGAGCAACTGAGCTCAGCACAGAACGTGAGATCTGAGCCTCTGTGGTCACCGGCATTGAGGGTTAGCCCCTTTTCTTTCAGTGAAATTCGAAACAGATGAGCTTTTTTCATCTCTTCCCTGAACTTCCTAAGATTTGAAGATTGTTTCTAAGTCCTTTAAGCAAACTCCCTCCTGTGCTTTTTGAAAAGAACTCCTGGCTCCTGGCTGTCAACTGGGAAGGGGGTGGACACCAGCTCTGTGGTGGAGACTTCCACAGTGCTCTAGCCCCACCTGCAGGACAACTGAAGATTTGCAAGTAGAAAGAGCCTCTTAATTTTCTCCCGTTTTACTACTGTACCTGGAGGACATTATTATTATTATTATTATTATTATTATTATTATTTATGTTTTTCAACAAATTGGTGAAGGCGATTTAATAGGAGGAAAGGAAAAATTCAATAAAAGATGCTAAAACAACTGGATGGATCACCATCTGGACTAAAACAAACATTGTACCTACTCACCCTTATCATAAAATTAATTTGCAATGCATCGAATACCTAAGTGAAGGAGCAAAATACTAAAAGAAAACAAGAGTATCTTTGTGACTTTGCTGTTGGCATAGATTTCTTATATTCATTAACAAAAGATTAACCATGAATAAAGATTTTGATAAATTGTACGTAATCAAAATTTAAAATTATGATGATGAAAATATACTCTTGAGAATATAAATAAGGTAGTCCACAGTCTAGAAGCAAATAATTCGTATCATATGCATTTTACAAAACACGTACATCCAGACAGGACATTTATATGGATCTGTGCCACTCACAAGCTACTGGCTTAGTAGAACTGATGGGAGGCAATTTTATTAACCTAAAAACCAGGATCACCAAAGTAATATTCAATGACACTAGTTCCTTTTTTTTAAAAGAATAATACCAAACTCTTTATACCTACATCCTTTTTTTTTGCAGTGAATTTTAAATGATCCCTTCAAAGTACCAGGAAAATGAATATTGTGCTTCAAAAAGCACTAGCAATGGGGCTGGAGTGATAGTACAGTGGGTAGGGTGTTTGCCTTGCATGTGGCCGACCAGGATTTGATCCCCAGAATCTCATATGGTCCCCCAAGCACTACCAGGAGTAATTCCTGAGTGCATAGCTAGGAGTAACCCCTGAGCACCCTGTGTGTGACCCCAAAAGCAAAAGCAAACCAACCAAACAAAAAGGATTTAGCAACAAAAAAAATACTTATACAACAAGAGAAATACAGATTTAATGGGGTATTGATATTCAGATTATGCAAATAACTTCTAAAGCTCAACAACAAATCACACAACACAGTTTTTTTTATAGAGCAAAGGACTTGAATAAACAGTTCTCCATAGAAGATATAGATAGACCAGAGAGTGGGTAAGGGACATACCAACCCATGTTTGATCCATGGCACCCTGTATGGTCCCCTGAGCCCTGCAAGGAGTGATCCCTGAACTCAGAGCCAGGAGTAAACTCTGAGCACAGCCAGGCTAAAACCAAGATATACAAGTGGCTAGTAAGCACTGAAGCAGGAACCTATCATCAGCTAAGAAATGCAAATCAAAGTCACATTGGCACCTTATGCCAATGAGGGTGGCTGCTGTCAAAACAGGGAAAACCCTGTGTTGACACGGATACAGAGAAACTAGATCCCTTGCACACTGTTAGTGGGAATGTACATGATACAACAACTGTGTAAAATGGTACATTTTCTAAAAGTTAAAAGTAGAAGTACTGTATGATCCAGAAAACCCCAAAGAGCCAAATCGGGGTCACAAAAGTGGTATTATCCACTTGTGTTCATTGCAGCATTGTTTAAGGTAAAAGAAACATGGTCACAACCCAAGTATCCTTTGGCAGGTGAATAGGTAAATACATAGTGGTGTGTCAGCTGTTAGGAAAAATGAAGTTCTGAAATTTGCTTATAAATGGATGGACATAGAGACTGTCATATTGAGTGAAATGAGTCAGAAGGAAAGGGAAAGACATAGAATAATGCACTCACTTGTGGATATAAAAATTTAATATGAGATTAATACCCATGGACAATAGAAACAAGGACCAGGGGAATTGGTCCATGGTTGGAAGCCTGCCTCACGTGCCAGGGAGGAAGGCAGCTGGGATAGAGAAGGGACCACTATGACAAAGATAGTTGGAAATGATCACTCTGGATAAGAACTGTGTTCTGAAAATAGGTAAATGAACAAACATAATAACAATAGTGTCTGTATTGCAAACCCTAAAAGAGGAGAGTGTATTGTAGTGGGGGGCGGTGGTCGAGGCTGGAGAGAAGAGAGGAGAGATAGGCTGGGGGTGGGTGGGGCAGGAGGGAAACTAGGGACATTGGTGGTGGGAAATGTGCACTGGTGGAGGGATGGGTGCTGGAATATTGTATAACTGAAACCTGACCATGAACAGCTTTGTTACTGTGTATCTCACGGTGATTCAGTATTTTTGTTTATTTGTTTTTTGCTTTTTGGGTCACACCTAGCAATGCACAGGGATCACTTCTGGCTCTGCACTCAGGAATTACCTCTGATGGTGCTCAGGGGGCTATATGGAATGCTGGGAATCGAACCTGGGTTTGCTGCATGCAAGGCAAATGCCCTTCCTGCTGTGCTATCGCTCCACCTTCGATTCAATTTTTTTAGAAGTGATATGTACGTACAGTGGAATATTTAAAAAGAAAGGGTATTCTGACACTGTAATGTGGATGAACTCTTAGAACATTATGCTAAATGGGGAAAAAACATCATAAATAGAAAAATATTATATAATTCCACTGATGAGGGACCTAGAGTCACACCCTTGAACCTTTTTATACCTATAAGTTGCAGGCTGGTCAAAAGAATGGTAACTGTAGCCAAAACCATAGACCAGTAGTTTTCAGCCTTTCTACATCGGCAGACCGTTACTGGTTCTTGGACAGATTGAAGACCACTGATCTGGAGTATTCAGTTTCATAAACATAAAGTAGAAGTGTAGCTGTGGGTCCAAGGAAAAGGAAAACAGAGAGGGATTTTTAATGGTTTTATTTTGTAAGATGAAAAATATTCTTAATAATAGTGATACTTGCACAATAATTGTAGTGTATTGAATACCATAACTATAAGGATTGCTAAAATAGTTCATTTCATATTTTGTGTATTTTTCCATCATAAAAATATAAAAAATAATTTCACTGGAAAACTGCATTGGATTTCAGTTTCCAATGCATATAAATAGAAAGCATAGTGTATCCAACCTTTGGAATTTTAGGATAATAAAAGACTATAAGAAAAAATTTAGTTTGTCACTTGGATGCTTTTAAGAAGTTGCCCAAAGTTACAGGTGTGCAAAGCTGATGTTTTTCCCCACCATTCAAAGAAGAAGCCAGTGAATAAAATTGCTTCAATGGTCAGTACTAAACTTGGAAATCCTATAGACTCTGAAAAAGAAAAGGTACTCACCCTGACTCCATTTGGGCAGGTTTTAGATTCTAAAGTCAGGAAATTAATGCCATAAAGAAAAGTAATTATTTAACATTATAATGTCATAGAAGAGTTCTGGGAAAAAATCCCATCTTGAATATTATTCTGATCAACAAACTTGGAGACTCATAGAGCATAGTATAGTGGCATCTACTATTGGGTGACTGTTGATGATAATGGAGTCTTACTTGCTTGAAGCAGTAGACGTTAGTACTGATCTTACTTGGTATGTACCAGGCACTGATCCAACTGCTTTTCCTGTATTGCCTTAATTAATTCATGCAGCAGCTTTGAGATACATTTACCCCCAGACTGCCCCCCCCCCCCATTTACAGATGAGAATGTGCAAACACGCATAACTTAAGAAACATGTCCAAGATCACAAAGATAGCACTAACGGGCAAGCTGAGATTCTCAAACTGAACCTTCTGAGTTGAGAAACAGCACTGTGTTCGGTTTCGGGTAGCTTCTGAGTTACCAGACTGCACGGACAGACAGACTGCAGGAAAACAGGGGGCCCCCGACTTATCCCTCTGGTCCTGCATTTTACAAGTAGACGTTCCTCCGTGACTCTTACAGTCTGTCTCCTCTGGTCCAAGAACAGGCACCAAAGCTCCCTCCTGAGAACTTCTTTACAGAGCACCCCAGCTTCTAGGAGACAGGGCTTCAACAACCCTAGCTCCCGCCACCCCATGTTCACTCGTACATGTAAGGAATAAGGGCAGAGTGACAGACTCCAGTGTACTTGGTCTCAGCTGCCACTACCCCTTTCCATAATGGGATGCTCTGTCATCCGACTCATGCCCGACACCAAACTGGGCTCACTCAGGAGCCAGCTGAGAGTACATGGCAAGCCAGGCTCATGGTGGGATGCTAAGGGGAAGGCTTGGTTCCAAGAAAGTTATTAGTCATGGGTTCCTGAGGCTTTATACAGTCTGCAAAAATGTAGATGTGGAAAAATTCTAAACTGTCTAGTGCCATCCTTGGACATAAAGTTATTTATTTATATTTTACTGGTGCAGGAGATTGTAGGCCACACCCCGCCAGAGCTCAGGGTTTACTCCTGACTCTCTGGGCTCAGAATCACTTCTGGAGGTGCTTGGGAGATCACATGCGGTACCAGGGAATGAACCAGTATCAGCAGCATTGGGCTGTGATCTTTTTGTTTAGTTTTGTTTTGGGGGCCATACCCAGCAGTGTTCAAATCTTACTCCTGGTGTTATGCTCTGGGATCACTCCTGACACAGCTCAAGGAAACATGTATGTGCCCAGGTGATTGCATACAAGGCAAGTGCCTTACATTCTGTACTGTTTCTCTGGGTCCAGGCATTGATTTTAGTTTATTATTTATGAGTAGTGTTTGGGGGCCACACACAGTGGTGCTCGGGGCTTACTCCTGGCTCTGCACTCATGAAGCACCTCTGGTGGGGTTCAAAGATCAAACCCAAGTCAGCAGTGTGCAAAGCGAGCACCCTACCCACTATACTCTCTCTCTGATCCTCCAGGCTGTGATATTGACTTTTTCGATCACGCCTGGCAATGTTCAGGGGTTATTCTTGGCTCTACCCTCATGAATTACTGCTGGTAGTGTTCAGGGCACCATGTGGGATGCTGGGGATCAAACCCAGGTCAGCCGCATGTGAAGCAGACACCCTACCCACTGTGTTATCGCTCTAGTCAGTCTGTGATATTAAACTATATACCAAGCCTGGGTATCCACATCTATCAAGTATTGAAGGAAGCTGAACTGTGAAATTTCCAGGTTAAGGGAGTCCCTTTCCAGGAATTGCAGCACTGACTTTGAAATCAGACAGATCTGAGTTTCAGTTCCAATTCTGCCTGTCTCTTAAAAACTGATTTTTTTCTATTTTTTCTTTTGTAAATGTCAGAATATCGACAATGAGTTGACACTTCTAAATCCAAAGACCTGTAGCTTCAAAACCTTTCTCCTTTCTACCTCTGAATTCTCTAGACCATGATCGCTCAAATAAATGCCTTAGAAGCTAAGGAAAAAAACATGACTTTCAATGATGCATTTTCAAATTACCTTACATTATGGTTCATTCTGTTAATCTGTTTATTTGTCATAGGCTCACCAGTCTGTTACAATTTAAAAGATAAAAATAGAGAAATCATTCAATAAAACTTTTTATCCTGAAAAAAACTCATTTTTATTGAATGAAATTTAGAAAGATCTAAGGAGAGAGAAAATGAGAGAGACACATGTCCAAGAGACAACATGGGTCTCTCTAGAGTGGAAAAAGGCCAGTTCTACCACTACCTCTCAGAGCCAGTGCCTTTACCTCCAAATGTAGATGCAGGTGGAAGACAAGAGGTGGGTAACATGTTAATCTGTTGGTTGCTTTGGATACTATAAGCATTCAGAAAATGGGAATTTTCAGCATAACCTTAACAAATCAGTTTCCCTTTTATCAGATAAAGTGGATGGTACTGTTCAGACAGGGTGCTGGAAAGATTTGGAGGGACAGTAGGAGAATTGGATATATTGGAGAAACTGTTTTTTAAGTGATGTTGATTTCTAGAGAGGTGGTAGTAATTTTTTTCTATGAAGAGTGTGGTAGGTGAGGTAAGTTTTGGAAACCCCTGATATGAATGCAAAGAAGGATTTTTCTCTTGAAATGATTCAACGTACTCACTTTTCTTGCACAGGTATTATGACAAGAAATACCAAGTGTTCCTGAAGCTGGTTGAACATCAAAGGGAATACGCAGCCATTATGAAAGGAAACTGAGAAGAAAGTCACAAGTGCCATGACACCTGTCTTGAAGGTTCTGTGTCTTTGCTTTGGAAACTTCTGTCAGTTCATCTTAGTTTCAAGTCCCTGTAGGTTTCATTTAACTGTGTATCATTCTATATGAACTCTTAATAAAGCCTCAGCATATGCAGATAGAATTAGAGTTTCCTGTTTCAAAAAGCCATCTTTTGCTAAGTTGGCCCTATCCAGAAACTATCACGGAGAAAGAAATTTCACATAGGGCAATGCAATCTCTAATGGGACAGGAACACGGCCACCATTAGTCCCACGGCAAACTTGCTCATTGATTCACTGTCAGCAATTGAATGGAAGATTTACAGTGCATTAGGAAATCTAGTGTTCATTCCCTAGAGGGCTATAATTATATTATTCACTTTGTATTTGGAAATTATTTAAAACTAAAAGGTTGCAAGAATATGGAATACCCCCATACCTAAGATTTACCTTTTATACTTATAATATTTGGATTTTACTTTATATGCTCTTTTCTTTCTTTTTTTTTTTTTTTTGGTGGGGTTGCAAATCTGGCAGTACTCAGGGCTTACTCTGCACTCAAGAGGGCTCATTTCTGGAGGGCTCAGGAGATCATATGGGTTGCCAGAGATCAAATCTTGGTTAGTCATTTGCAAGATAAGCAGCCTACTCAACTGTCTGTTCCATTTGTATGTTTTTTAATCCCCCTTTATGTAATATAAATATATGAATGTCATGTATACGTGCCATCAACTTACACATATTAATTCAGACTCAAGAGCAGCTACTAATGTAGATTCTAGAATTGTCATAGCACAAATGGGTTTGAGTAGAAAACTTAGGACTTTCAGCAATGTTAAGTTAGCAGGTAGAAAAATAAAATAGCAAGCTTCCAGTCATTGACCAGTCTTCCTGTGGAAGCTTGCCACAAGAGTTTGTGGGACAAAGCGCAGTTAGAAAAGAGAAAGGACCAAAATGACACAGTTTGACAATAATAGAAATGAACACTCTGGACAAGAACTGAGTGTTGAAAGTAGGTAAATGGATATACATGATAACCTTCCAGTAACTGAATTGCAAACCATAATGTTCTAAAGGAGTAGGAGAGAGAGAGAGAAAGAGAGAAGAGGCAGGTGAGTGGGTGGGGCAGCAGGAGGAACACTGGGGACATTGGTGGTGGGAAATGTAGACTGGTAAAGGGATGGGTATTGGAACATTATATGACTGAACCCAATCATTAACAACTTTGTAACTGTGTCTCTCACTGTGATTCAATAAAAAGAAAGTAAATAAATATTTGTTTTTTTAAGAGTTAAAAAAAGACTGTGACTTATAACAAAACCAACAAACACACTCAGAACATTCATTCGCACATACACATACGTATTTTTTGTTATTTAAGAGTAAATGTCATGAGAACATAACTTTCATATAATATGTTCAGCCATTCATATCCTGTTTTTGTGAATAACTCAATAAGACTCTTTAATGCTATATTTTTCTCTACAGGATCCAGCCTAGAATTGGCTATTGCTTTTTCATTAAAGAATCGTCATCTCGCAATCATCATATTTAAGAAAGGTACAGGCAGGAATCATCAAAGAGTACAGGAGGGAATTTTGATGAGTAACAGGATGTATGCATGAGTTTAAATGTCTCCTCACAGATTGTTTATTAGTTAGATGAAGAAAAAGAATGTTAACTACGTTACAGGGAAAAAATAGGACAACATCTTGATTGGGTGATCAGAATGAACTTCAGATGGGCAGATGGACATGATGTATCTCCAGATGTGACAGCCTGACAGAGCCATCGTGTCATTCTGACTGGCAAATGTAATCACCAGAAAATATCAGATGAATGCCAAATGGGCAGCAATCTAGTTTTTGAAGGATGATATACTTCAAGACTGCCAGTCATAAAGACAAAGAAAGACTGGAAAATTTCTCAATTAAAGAAACTAAAAAACAAAAATGCCTTATAGTTATTACTGTGTTTAAAGCAAACCAAAAAAGTAATAGTATTAGTTGCTTTAGTTGTTGTCATATACACAGAAACATATCTCTCTCTCTCTCTCTCTCACACACACACACACACAAATACACACACACACACAATTTTAGAATCCAGAGCATCTACTCATATTCATGTAGATTCTAGAGCTCAGATGGGTTTGAATACAGGACTGATGAAATTGCAACATAAGTTCACAGGTAGGATAGGAAACAACTAAAATAACTATACAACTCAGGTTGACAAACATTTTTGGATCATGGATTCACTACCAGGAATGCTGCTAGGCATGGGGACAGAGAAGTGAACTCTCATATGGTGCCGGGGAGCCGGAATTCTGATGACCACAGGAATAGTATATCTATTGAGGCAAGTTCTCAAGAGAAGTGCTCACATTCAGTAGTCAGAGAAGGAGGAGTTAGATGAAGTCCATGTGGAGCGTCAGTTGGGAACCTGGTGTAAGATTCGAGTACTGACTTTACCTCATACTACCTGGATGACTTGGAGAAGGATCTTTAACTTCACCATTTCCTCGTAATGCACATACTTATAGTACCTATTTTACAGGACTTAAATAATGATATCCTGAAACAGGTTTGCTTCACAAATATTGTAAAGTCTTTTGCTTCCTTGCCTGGTGTATGACAGTCTTTATACAAAATCTGGTCCTAGTGGTTGCTGAGAATAATAAGACAAATTCCTGAGTAGAGTGACTGCAACAGTTGTAAATACCAGTTCTAAAGAGCATGGTACAGCATCCAAAGTCTTGGGCATGGTGCAGGGTGTCAGCAGGCCTGGTTTCCGACATGGCAGATGGCAGTTCATTCAGCAACCCCAGACAGATTTGCAGATAAGAGAAATTAAGGAGTCTGTTTTAGTATCTTAGATCAGAAGTCAGGTATAACAGGATCTAGTCCAGATGTCAGGACCACAGTAAGACAAGCTTCAGTTGATCAAAACTAACTCAGAACCTTAGGAAGACCTAAATCCACTCTTGCACAGCAGCAAGTATCATGTGAATACACTGAAAAGCAAAGGTAGGAGAAGAAATAATGACCAATATTTGCACATCTTCCTTGTATGTTCCCTCCCATTTTCCTCATAGCCCTGTGGGGTGGGGAGCTTTAACCTCACATGTCAGCTGAAGAAGCAGACTCAGCAAACTACACAAGGTATCCTGTAGAGCCCAGATAAAACTCCATAAGAACAGTGAGAACCAACCTGACGTACAGAAGTGCTGAAAGACTTCAGGCAAGATACTTAATTGCTTCACCTCAGTCTCCCATTTTTTCAATGGCTTAATCTCACTACTGCCTCCTCCTAATGTGGGTGGTAAGGAGTCTGGGAGGAAATCAAGAACTCTCTAAGTATTATTTTTATACTGTTTTGTTTTTGTGATGCCAGGAAAGAGTTAATCCCTCAGAAAATGATTCTGATTCCCACTCTGAAGTCAGTCTTGTAGGAAAATCTAAATGTCTGAGTGGATTTCTGAAATACTGTGAACTTTGATCATAAATTTGTGGATGGCGTGGTCAGGTTTTTAAGAAGTGCTCAGTGGACCTGGGACCCCTCCTGGGCCAGTGATTCAATGCTGTGACCCAAGAATGTGGTAATGTTTAGGTCGTATGGTGCTGGGAACCACCAAAGTCATCTCAGCTGTGTACAGAGGCCTCAAGGTCATCCCAGTGATGTACAGAGACCTCAAGGGTCACACTCAGTGATGCTTAGGGGCCTCTAGGACCATAGGAAGGGATGCTCAGGGTCTTCCTTAACCACATGGACTGATGCTCTCAGCCTCCAGGCTTATACCCAATTCTGTTCCTGAAGCCACATGGTACCGGGGACTGAACTTGACTTGATAATAAAACTTTAATGATTCTAAATACTTAGTTTTTTGCACTGGGAAAGGAGGCTCTATTCTCTGCATACATATCAGTATAGTAAGCATCTAGGAGCAAGAAATACCACCTGATCTAGTCCTGTGTGGGCTAGATCCTGACATCTGAACTAGATCCTGTGTGGCTGGTGGGACTTTTCTTTTGTCTTGTTGCTTTCGAGTTGAAGCCCACCTTGCTCAGCAAGTCTTGTTTGTTTAATTCTGCTGGGGGAACCACACCCAGAAATGCTAAGGGCTTATTGCTGGCTCTGTGCGCAGGTATCACCCCTGATAGTACTCAGAGAAGCATATGCAGGGCCTGGAATTGAATCTGGTTAGCTGCATGCAAGTCTTTAACCACGGCTCTGTACCCACAGCAAGTCATCGGTTCAGGAAACACACTGATGATGTTCAGTTTGGACCAAAAGTTCTTCCCATGTGTGAAGATCCCAATGCATTTCACTCCAGCGCCTCAGAAACTAAGAAAACAATTAAGTAAGAATAGAAGTGAGGTGGAAAAGATGAGGACAGGAGTTGTGACAACGGGCACAGAGCTGCATAACCTCCAGGACCTGATGCCAGAATTTGGTAAAGTCTAAACAAGGCATCTAGAAGGAATGGCCTCCTTTGGGAATACCCAGTTCGAATTCACAGCTTTGAGAGGTACCAAGTCAGTAGATGAGGCTGACCCAAAGAGACACTGAGGGTTTTTTGTTTCATTTTGTGTTTTGTGGTAACAGGGAACCAACCCAGGTTCTCACACAAGGCAAGTACTTTATTGCCGAGCTACATCCCTGGCCAGGAATGTGGTTTTAATATTTACATGTTAGAGTTTGTATCTTGATTCCTTTGTCCCTGGCCATGAACTTTTAGAGGACACTAACCCTCTTAAGGTCACCATTTTCTGTGCCCAGACAGTTCCTGGTACTTTTGCTTGTTTGGCAGTGTTCAGGGCTTACTCCTAGCTCAAGGATGGCTCCTGGCAGTGCTCAGCGGACCATATGGGGTGCTGGGGATTGAAAAGTCACTGGACCATATGTAAGCTCAGTGAATGAGAAAAATACATAAAACAAAAGAATGACCTGCAGAGGAGACTGGTATAATTTTTAAAATCTCAGAAATACCATACTTTCGTGTCAAAGATCTATATATGATCATGCACCTTAAGCAATTTTGAAATGTGATATGTGCACAAAGGGTTAAGAAAGTCTTATCTCCAGCAAGTTGCTTTTTCCTCTTTTCTTATACATTCACACACAAACACACAC